CAAAAAATGTTTTTTTTAGGTATTTCTAATACAGTTAGATTAATTAAACTTTTACTGCATGTAGAACATATATTTATGTATTCAGTCAAATAAACAGATTATTTTAAAATCTTCATAAAGTATCCCACGAAGAAAAACCTATATTTAGTCACTCAAAAGTTTACAACACATTTTTTTTATTAACAACAGCTTTTTTTTTTGTATAAAAGTCTTCAAATTTTACTAAAATATTCCAAATTAGGATGGGGTTGATTTTAAGAACGTTCCAGATTAATTACATGATTACTTTTAGGAATGATTAAAAGTATTGTGTCATTCTTTCTTTGTCAACCTTCCTTTAAACATTGACAAAATAGGGAAAAGCAAAATTATTGATCAAGATCTCTGCAAATGTATTGTTGACCTTCATACAAATGGACTTTGTTATAGTAAGATATCTAGTCAGTTAAATGTGCCACTGAGTTCAGTTGGTACGATAGTTCGTCACTAGAAGACATGTCATTCCATTTGTCCCAAAAGAAGATTTGGTCATTCTACAAAAGTAACGGAACATACGGCAAGATTATTGGCGGGAAAAGTTGGCAACGATCCCCGAGTTATGGTTAAAGAACTAGAATGGAGGACTAGAAGTAAGTGGAGTAAAAGTGAGTACGGCTACAATTAGTCGTTCACTTCGTCGATATGATATCTTTTCGAGAACTCCAAGGAAAAAAAAACACACTTCTTAAAAAAAACACATTCTTGCTAGACTGGATTTTGCAAACAATCATTGTATCAAACCTGTATCATTTTAGGAAAATATACTTTGGTCAGACGAAACGAAAATTGAAATTTTTGGTAGAAATGCTGGGGAAAAGGTCTGGAAAAAGAAGATTACTGGATATTTGTCGAAGAATACTATCCCACAATAGTAAAATTTGGAGGTGGATCAATCACGATATGGGGTTGTTTTAGTGCCCAAAGTGTAGGGAACATTGAAATAATAGAAAGGAGGATGGATGGAGCATATTATAGGGATATTTTGGGGAGACATTTACGTCAAAGTGCACATTTACTGGGCTTGAAATCAGGTTGGCTTTTCAACAAGACAATGATTCTAAACAAACTACAAAGCTTACAAAATTTAAAATTCTAAAATGACCAAGTCAATCTCCAGATCTTAATCCGATTAAAAATTCATGGAGAGAGATAAACCTGAGAAATCAAAGAAGGAACCCGCAAAACTTGTATGAACTAAAAGAATTTTGTCGTAAATAATAGAAAAATATTAGCCAAGTAACATGTAAGAAATTCATAGGGGATTACTCTAAATGCCTACATGCTGTAATTAGCAATAACGGTTACGCTACAAAATATTAATAGAAGATTTAATAAATGTATTGTAAATTTTTGCTTTATTAAATATGGTTTTTTCTTCGTCGGATATTTTTATTGATTATTGTTTTATAATCTGATTCTTTGACTAAAGGCTTAAACATATTATTGGCAGTAATAGTTTCATTAAACTGTTAGAAATACGTAAAGGAATATTTTTTGTAATGCGTTGTAAACTTTTGCGTATCACTGTATGTTGGAAACTTACCTGTCCCTGTATACGATCATGTGACGTTTAAGTCCCGCAACAGATTTACAAAACTCGCACAAGTAATCTGCAGGTCTTTTTTGTAGGGTTGCATTCACATGAGTTTGCATCTGACCTCTCTGGTGTGATCTCCCGTGACTGGCTAAACCAGCCGCCGAAAGGGTGACTTTTCCACAAGTGTGTTCGTGCCCTAATAGCTCTGGGACGGATTCTATTTATCTTTATCTAATGGGTGCTCCTTTTCTTGGAATGCTTACTTCTCTTCTGCTCAATATTGTGGCAGCGTTTCCAAATCAACTTTCTCCAAGCAGATCTGTCTCCAGCAACATTTTCTCAGTCCTCACGCCAAGTGTCTTTAAGTTACATTTAACTACATCCTTGAAAATTTTTGGGGGGCCTTATGAGTGGGTCGATTACTTTGTACCAGCTCACCATAGAAAAAAGTCTTTTGTACAATCTTCCATCCTCCATACGTGCCGGATGACCTGTCCAGCGCATTTGTTTAGGGAGTAGTTTATCTATGCTGGCTCTGTTTGCATGCTGAAGGACTTTTGTGTCTGGTGTACAAGACTTGCCCACTGATGGCCAAGATTCGTCTTGGGCACTACGGTTGAAAAAACCCGATAAGTGGTCACATTTTCGATGAATATAAAAGGGTGATTAGAACAACTGTTTCGTAGATGCCAATCTCTGTGCTTAAGGAGATGTTACTATCAGACCATACACCCTTTTCAAGTTTCCTGTTTAAGTTGCCCCTACAATGTGATAATCCATTTCCGCATCTAGTGAGCTATCCCTAGATAGTGCATAATAAAAAGTCTTTGGGGCAATGTGTCATCCTCCATACCTGTCAGATTTTCTTCCCGTCGCATTTGGAGAAGTAGTTTCTCTATGTTGGCTATGTTTGTGCACCAAAGAACTTTTGTGTATGGTGTACAAGACTGCGAATTGATGTCCATGATTCATCTCAGACACTGCTGGAGAAAACGCTCTAAGACTTCAATGTGCTTTCGATGAATATAAAAGTGTGGTTAGGACAACTGTTTTTTGGAGTTTTTTTTTTTTTTTTTTTAGTTTCCGGTCTTTGTACTTAAGGAGAAGTTACGATCAGATCATACTCTTTTTTCAAGTTTTCTCAATACTTGATTGCTCGTCCAATGCAGTAATTCACTTCCGCAGCCAGTGAGCCATCCTTAGAGAGTGCATTGCCTAAGTATGCAAAAGTGTCAACTACATCAAGCCTAGATCCATTAACGGGAATGTAGGGCTCTATATAAGTCAGCCCAGGTATCTACATAGAGCGTATATAAATATATAAGAGAATCTTGAGGTCAACATCCATCGGCGACAGTCTATTTCATGCATACACGTATCTGTCATCCTCCATACGTATCGGATGAACTGTCCAATGCATTTGGAGAAGCACTTTCTCTATGCTGGCTATGTTTGTGCGCCAAAGGACTTTTGTAAATGGTATACAAGACTGCGAATTGATGTCCAAGTTTCATCTCAGACACTGCTGGAGAAAACACTCTAGAATCTTAATGTGCCTTCGATAGAGGAATATAAACGTGTGCATACTTACATACATAATGGCCGGCCACTACTAGATCTGTGATAAAATTTGTCACCGGGCTGAAGTGGCATATCAGAGTGCACGAGGAGGAAGTCACTTTTAAGATTCTCCAACCAAAAATCATTGTTGTGTCACATGCAAAACTGTATGCAGGAGCGGGGCTGGTTAACAAAGTTATTTGCGAACCCTTGGCTGCTCACTTCAGCATTAAGGAGATAACCTTTTCCCTGTAAAGGAGTGGAAGGTATATATATATATATATATATATATATATATATATATATATATATATATGTTAAGGGGTCCACCCTTTTTTATACAAGTGGACTCGCTCAGTGTGTACTTGTACTGTTGCCGGTGAATACCCGGAAGTCAGAGAGTGACAGTGATACAATGAGAGTGTGAGGTAACCGCTTTGTAGGAGTCACAGTTGCGAGCACGTAGACTCAGAAGGAAGTCGTTCTTCGATACTGAATTTCCCAGACTGTATATATATTATTATTGCTACTAACCGCATTTCTGGATCTACTAACCGTATTACCAATTGTATTATTTCGTCAATACAATTATTCACTATATTTCATTCCTGCGTTTGTCCTTCATTTGAGGCCGGATTTCATCTCGGAATCCACAACAATATATATAGGCTGTCCCAAAATAATTTATGCCCTATTTGAATCGCTGTAACTTATTCAATTTATGTATTTTGACTTGTAAATAATATTAATACAAGAGAAAGAATACACATTTAAAGAATTTTAGAGTAAAATATAAGAGAAAAAATAGAAAATTAACTTTAATAAGATAAAAGATGCTTGGGGAAATGGCAGAATGTTCATATAATGATCATTTCACATCAAGTGCTCAAACTGGTTGCCGTTCTGTTCAATACACTTTTCATATCTTGAAGAAATAGACCTACAAACGTCCAGTATCATTTCCTCTGGTATTTGGACACATTCTTCTTCAATTGATACTCTCATTTTCACAATTGTTTCAGGTTTCCTGCTGTAAACTTTGTATTTAAAAAAATCCCCACACAAACGAAATCCAAGGGTGTCAAATCTGGTGATCTAGGTGGCTATTCAATTGTCCCTCTTCTTCCAATCTATCTGTTTTGCATATTTTCATCCATATAAAAATGTATTATTAACTATTAATATTTAAACAGTGTATACATTATTTTGGGACACCCTGTACCTACATACATACATACATACATACATACATACACATATATATATATATATATATATATATATATATATATATATATATATATATATATATATATATAGAGAGAGAGAGAGAGAGAGAGAGAGAGAGACAGGCGGACAGACAGAGAGATGTATATATAAATAAATAGGTTTTTATATAGACATTAGCGGATTCTATCAATATATACATTCCTCTATTATATATCAGTAACATATGTCTTTCTGGAAACAAAGTTCTATATTTGCCTGTCTCTCTTTTGTGTGTTCTTTACTATAATGCATACGAGAGATCTTCATATAAATGACTGATCGAGTTTATTGATTGCAATTGTGTTGTTGAAGTGAGAAGAAGATTGACAGGAAGAGGATGGTGCGGTTGTGTTTGAAATTAATATATTGGCTTGTAAACATCTGGTCATTTTTCACTTCCCGCCTGGGACGATAGCAGGCTGGGAGGAATTGCTGAGTACGTCCAGACTTGACACGTGTAACCAACCAGTTGAACATACACAAAATCCAAACACAAATATAGAACTTGAAATGTCTTTTTATTTTTATAATTTTGATTTTTTTTTTTTTTTTAATTTTTTTTTTTTTTTCCTTTCTTTCTTTTAGTTGGCGAAACAAAATCCCGTAGAGGAGAAGAAAGAAAGAAAGAAAGAAAGAAAGAAAGAAAGAAAGAAAGAAAGAAAGAAAGAAAACCTTTGCTCATTCTGAGCAATAAAGAAGGAAACGAGTAAGTTTAAACTATTAAAAACGAAAGAAAAATTGAAAGTGAAGTAGCGACGGAAGAAAATTGTAAAAGGACCTTAAATTTGAAATAGTACAAAGGGAAGACAATAAGTATAAACGAATGGAAGAAATCTAGCGAGAGAATGAAATTAAAAAAGGGCGTTAATATGGAATGGGAAAAGTGAAGGCAAAAAAGAAAAAGAATGAAAGAATCGTAGCGAGGGAAGGAAATTGAAAAAGGACGTTAAATTTGGAATGAAGAAAATGAAGGCAAAAAAGAAAATAGAATAAAAACAGGTAGCGACATAAGGAAATGGAAAAAGGACCTTAAATTTTGAATAGGCAACGGGAAGGCAAGAAATATAAAAGCATGAACGAAACGTAGCGAGAGAAGGAAATTGAATAAGGACGTTACATTTTGAATGGAAAAAGGAAGACAAGACAGAAAAAAGTATGAACGGAACGTAACGTGGGAAGGAAATTGAAAAAGAACCTCAAAGAGAAGGCTAGAAATGTAAAAGTATGAAAGAAATGTAGCCGGGGAATGAAATTAATAAAGGACGTTAAATTTAGAATGGTAAAAGGGAAGACAAGAAAGAAAAAGGATTGAAAGAAAAGTAGAGGAGGAAGGAAATTGAAACCTTAAAGAATGAAAAATAGGTGGAAAGAAAGAAATATTTGAAAGAAAATGGAAATTTTATAAGATGAAAATCCAAGGAATTAAGTTTTTTTAGGGTTTATCAACCTTTTGTGGGTTATTTAATGCCGGAACCTAAGGAGGCCTCTTACAATAGCCGGTGTTTACAAGTTTTCCACCCACCCATTTAGTTACTGATCGGGTTCGACATTGCTTAAAAGCTGAAGGAAAAAAAAGTAAACGCAAAAAGAGACGATAACGGAAATTACAAACGAAATAATTACGAAAAGAAAAAAAGGACTAATATTGAAGAGAGCAAATAGTTAAGGAATGAAATAAAAAAAAATTAAAAAAAAAAAACAGAAAAGTTTGTAAAGAGTAAAAAGGAAAGATACAGAATGAAAGTGAGAAATAAAAAAAACAAAAAAAAAATCAGATTCCTGACAATGGAAATAAACCACTGAAGGACCCGATAATCTACCAAACATAACATGCATTATAAAAATAATAATCTCCATCTAAACTGTAAGTCTCCATCTTGGCTGCAAGTCTCCATCTTGACTATAGTCTCCATCTTAACTGCAATCTCCATAACTCTTTGAAATTGTCTGTCCCAGAATCAATTCATATTCCTTTCTCTCTTAACGAAATTAGTAATACATCAACACAGCTGCTTGGAAAGTATCGGAAAGAAATCATTCTTTTTTATTCTTTCAATTTTCCAAAGTTAACAATTCTAAATACAGTATATTATATTTATGAAGATTCGCATATGTCGCCTTTTTTTTCTTTTAGATTTTCATCCATACTTTTGTACATATATATATATATATATATATGTGTGTGTGTGTGTGTGTGTGTGTGTGTGTGATTAAATATGGAAAGAGCGGGAAATCTTTATATATTTGAGGGTTTCGCTATTTATTTAAGTTCCTCATAAATTTTGGGACTGGAATGTTTAAGCGTTATGTCAGCTTTCAAATTTTATGTTAGTTTGTGTTCTTTGGTTGTGCTGATGTCACGTTTATATTGGCGTTACTGTTCATGTCTGTATTCTTTTTGATTTCTGTATTCGTTTTGATTTCTGTATTCTTTTTGATTTCTGTATTCGTTTTGATTGGTCGCGTGTGCATCACGTGAGTAACTCTTGGCGTCTCTGTATGTTTAACTTTTTACATGCCAGTCTAAAGTACATATGAAAAATTGGGTGAAATATGGCGAACTTTGAAAATGCGTAATAGTAGGTTATGTCCACTATTTACATTGTTCGGACTAATATCCTCATCTTTGTTGCCACACTTATCACAGCGTTTCGGCAGTTGTACGCTCCGGCCTTCTTCAGGTTGTTGGAATGTCGAAATGAACCCTTTATTTCGCTCACTGGGGTAGACTGTTCTAGTTCCACAAGCCTTCATTTTGGACGGCACGTGTACACTATTTATATCTATAGATGTCTTTCGTGTCACGTCTTCGGGTATTAGAGTTTAATAATCCTCTTAATTGTCGAATTTCTTTTAACATGTTATCAGAAAATATCTATCAACGTTAATTTTAAATTGAGTGTTTTCCTACAATCCTTATACTATTATGCACGTAGTGTAGATACGCGCTGTATTTAATTTGGTAAAGAAAATTTATGTTTACATTTTTTAGACGGGCAATGGCGTCTATGATTCATTGGTTACTTATGGCATTATATGAATTGCTTTTTATTCAATATCGCTTCATGTTAAAATTTTTATTAGTTTAATATAAAAAGGATTCGAAATGAAAAGATCTGTGTGTTTGATGGAAGAATATAAAAAGAAGAATGGAAAAAGATTGGCAGCAGAATTTCAATGATGACTATCACAAGCATTTATGCTGCACCCTGCATATATATATATATATATATATATATATATATATATATATATATATATATATATATATATAGGTAACTATACTGTCTCGAAAAAACCTTCAAATTTTGATTTGCCAATAATCAAATCAATCTCGAAGGAAAAAAAAGATTTTAAAACAAAGAAAGAGCTAGGGACATGAAAGTCTGTCAAAAAATCAGATACACATACAGGTTTAATGCCCAAAGAAAAAAACCGACACGAGTAAACAACTAACAAAAGAGCTCAATACAAGCGTAGAGCAAACCTAGATAAACCTAGTGAGCTAGACAAACCTACTCAGGTTTCACCTAAGCAAATCGTCAGATATGTGTATGTGTGTGTGTGTGTGTGTGTGTGTGTGTGTGTGTGTGTGTGTGTGTGATAAAATATTGTTTTAAGGTATGCATTATTTATGAGTTAAGGTGCCCCAATATCAGAGATAGAGCGTATGTAAATATAAAAGTGGGCACTGAAGTCAACAGCCAGATGCCACAGTTTGTTTCATGCTTAAAAGCAAGCATCAGGCCAAGACAATTGCCTTCAAGCATGAATGTTTAATCACTGAGATTTGACTTCAATATTTACTCATATATATATACATATATATATATATATATACATATATATATACATATATATATATATGTATATATATATATATATATATATATATATATATATATATATATATATATATATATAATATTTGACGGCAATTAAACATACTTTTCTATGAGAAAATGGTTGAAAATATCGTCCTGCTGAAGCCTTCATTAACATAGACTATACTTTTATCTCACTTTTTCCTGCTCTAAAATCATATCATTTATTCAAAAGACATTATTCTTATTAACATTTTCATTTTCTTTGATTTCTGGCGTTTACACATTTCTTTCTAGATAAAGCGCTTCGTAAAGTGTGGGCTATACTTGTCAGAAAAATTTTTTGTATCTCTTTGAGGATTCACTTTAATTAGTTTACTTGAATCTTTTTCAACCTATCCTAGGGCTTCTACTACAACAGGGATTGTTGATGTCCCCATATGCCACATTTTTTAGATTTCCTTGTATTTCTACAGCTTTTTGAATATCTTCAAAGATACATTGCAGTCTGCAGGGACTGCCAGATCAATAAGGGGGCACTTTATTTGTTTGTGGTCTTTTATCACAATGTCTGGGCGGTTGGCTTTGATTGTTCTGTCAGTGTATATTGTGTAGTCCCATAGAATTGTAACAGGTCCTATCTCCGTAACCGGGTCTGGATGGTGTTCATACCAGTTTCTTTCAGTTTTCTTCCCGTAGAAGTTGCAAATTTTCCAGTGCAGATATTGGCCCAATCTGTCATGCCGGGTTTTATATTCAGTGGGTGCAACCTGATACAAGATGATCAAATGTTTCTGGATATTTGTCACAGTATCTGCATTTTGGGCTAACACAATATTTTAGTATATGGGCTTGATACTTCCTAGTTAACAAGCATTGGTCCTGTGCATCAAGGATAAAACCTTCAGTTTCAGCTTTCAACCCTGCACTACGTAGCCACTGATGGGTACGGGTTTTGTCTACGTCAGCTTGTTTGTTACGGGCAGATTATTGGTCATGAAGCGGTTTATCTTGCCATCGCTTCTGTATCTGGTCGGTTGCATTTGTCTTTGATGTCTTTTTTAAGTATTTATCATCATTATTATTATCATCATCATCATCATTATTATTATTATTATTATTATTATTATTATTATTTAATTTCCTTTGATTTCTGGTGTGTACTCATTTCTTTCCGTACCCCGAGAAGTGACCTAAGGTCAGAAATGGCATCATGACATTTTCTACTGAGCAATTAAAAAAAAATATATACATATTTTACATAGTTAAATACCTTCGTAAGGCGTGGGCAGTACTCATGAGAATAATTTTTTTTTGTATTTAAGGCATATGCTACGAGAATCCCTTCAATGAGGCTATTGGAATCTTTTTCAACCAATCCTAGGGTTCCAACTACAAATGGAATTATTGATGTTCTCATGTGCCACATTTTTGAGATTTCGATTTCAAGGTCCTTGTATTTTGATGGCTTTTTGAAGATCTATAAAGATACATTGTAGACTGCAGGGGCTGCCATATCAAAAAGTAGGCAAATTTTGTCTTTGTGGTCCGTAATCAGTATGGCGATTAGCTTTGATTGTTCTGTGTGAATTGTGAAGTCCCATAAAATTGTTACAGGTCCTATCTCCGTAACCGAGTTTGAGTTGAGTCCAAACAAATTATTATTATTATTATTATTATTATTTGTGTACTCATAGTTTCAAAAAAGATGACAATTGTTAGAAAGTTAGTTTTAATAGTGAAATATAAGGAAACAAGCCTTGGGCACCTCGAGGCGGTGTAATGGTTAGCAAGCTTGCCTCGCTAGAACAATTACGACTGCGTAGTGAGTTCGATGCTTACTGGCTGCCCCATACTTTCGGCCTTGTGCCACATCTGAGCTACGTTTGGAAAATCACTATGATGAAACAAGCCGTGAGGCGGAGATAAAGAATTCACAACTAAAATAAAGACCAATAAATCGTCTACTTAATCGATTCCCTTTATATTTTTCAGATCTTCAATAGTATCTATGATTTATTGATTAATCCTGGTATTGTATAAATCGCTTTTTGCTCAATATCTATTTATGTTAAAGATTTTATGAGTTTAATATAAAAGTGACTTGAAATGGAAACACCTCTCGAAAGAAAAAATTAGCAGCAGAACGACAATGACCACGACAAAGTCTATTTGAAGACCATGTTGAGGCAAGAACACTTGGCAGACCACAGAATATAATTGCCTCTTAAGAAAGGCTTGAACAAATAAGACTGCAGTTTAAGATATTTAGTATTAAGGTAATAGATTAAGTAAACGTTTTATTGGCCTCCATTTTAGTTAGGAATTCTAGATCTCTGTTTTACTCAATCTCTATGCAATGTTTCAAAACTTGTTTCATTGAATCTCAGTACTAAAACTTTCTAAAAATTGCCGTCTTTTTTTTTTCCCGCTCGGGTATTTAACCTCATAATCTTAAATTCCTTTACGGCCACTTAGATTTATATCACACACCTCGTTCAGTAACCGTCTAACATGTGTAGCTCATGAGTATTGTATTAAATGAAATTTAGTATAAAAATAGGTTTTATCATATAACACAAAACAGGCCATTTTTGCTACCGTAATAGAAAAAAATGGGAGCAAAACCTATTTCGGAAGAACAGAAGTTTATTTTAAAATAACTCAGCTCTCTCGTGCATGTGAAATCTGTATAAATAAATATGAATGCTACTGTATCACACTAATTCAATTTTTCTCCTAGAGGCTGTGACCAGACATTTCATACCAAATTTGGAATCAGACTTCGTGAGCAAATTAAAAACATTCCCGGCCGAATCTGAACCCGCAATCCTGAAATTTTGAATTCCCAAGTTTTCATTACTGCGATTGTTTTCAGCAATTTTTAAAGAGATTTTTTTTTCTTTTTTTTTGCGACGAATTTTTTTTTTTTTTGTACAGTAACAATATTTATATCTTGAAAATAAATTTGGGAATAATCGAAATTAATTACGAAATCCAGTGAAAGTAACTTATGAAATCAAAATAATTTTTTGTACAGAAAATTGTCTTTAATTAAGTGGCGGCAGAAGAATTATCTTTAAACTTTTAAAAGGTACCCTTAAATATTAATGCAGTGATCAATTTTGAGTTCTTCTGTAGTTTATTGTTATCTATCGCGTTTACTTCTCACTACTTATTGTGATGAAGACCCAATCAAGAGCAGAAGCTAGCTTAAATCCTCCCCGATAAGATGTCTTTTAAGCTCGTCTTTGAATATAAGTACGAAGTTTGCAAGACCTAGCAAAAACAGAGAAACCTGATAATCTAGGAACATGGTGTCCACATAAAAGGAAAATTAAGGGAAAATAGTGTCCACATAAAAGGAAAATTAAAGGAAAATGGTGTCCACATAAAAGGAAAATCAAAGAAAAATGGTGTCCACATAAAAGATAAATAAGAAGAAAATGGTGTCCACATAAAAGGAAAATTAAAGGAAAATGATTTACATATAAACAATCCTTAGTCAGCCTTTAAAACAACGCTTCAATCCAACTAGGAAGATCCTTATCTTGATGCTGGAAATCAAAACCCAGCTGCAACATCATGACACCCACCAACATTCCTATTTCAAAAACATACAGGGACCATCGAAAGAAAGAACCTTCTTCAAGAGTCTCGATGGATACTTCATTAGAATGTTACGAATGGTACTTAATATACTCTGAAGTGCCAAACTAACGAATGAATCCCAATTTGCAAGAAGATAGCATTCAGACGCTTGCCGGACATTGCTCATCTTATCCAGAAGTTGCATCAAAACTCGTTTCATGCCAACCATCGAGAGAACGAAAGAACAGGGCCCGGCAAGCTGTGGCGTTTTCAGATACATTTATATGAAGAATCTGAAGGAATTTGAAACAACTATTTTTGATCGCAACAATCGGAGACATTGTTATGAGTGGAAGCTTAGCTAAACTAACAATCCAGATTATTGTTGCTAGTGAATTAAAGCGTTGTAGATTATTGTTGCTAGGGGATTAAAGGTTTGTAGGTAATTGTTGCTTGGGTATTAAAGCGTTGTAAGTAATTGTTGTTAGGGATTAAAGCGTTGTAGGCAATTGTTGCTAGGGGATTAAAGCGTTGTAAGTATTTGTTGCTAGTGGATTAAAGCGTTGTAAATAATTGTTGTTGGGGATTAAAGCGTTGTAGGTCATTGTTGCTATGAGATTAAAGGGTTGTAGGTCATTGCTGCTATGGGATTAAAGCGTTGTTTCCGGAATTTAATGAAATAATACTTGCGAGATCAATCTCTTAGACTTAGTGAAAGCATTGCAAGCAGTAACTGATCGGTACCAAATAAGAACAAATGGAGATTTCCTTGGACACGAACAGCAGACTGAGAGTTACCCCAGTAGATTACCCAAAGGATTCAGTTCGAAATTCTCTGAAGTTACCCGGATTGAAAAGAATCAGAAAACCGAAGAGGACGGGAGCCAACACGTTGCTATAACAACAGATAAAATGAGGTTAATTATCCGAGTCTAAATTATATTTTTGCGTTTGTTTTTTTTTCTTTCTTCTTTACTAATGTTTAACCAATAAAAAGCCCAAGAGCCGCTCAGGGTAGAGGGTTACTGTATGGAGTTGTATTAGCATAAGAAACAGCAATATGACATGAAAGATATCTAAATCTAGACTTTAAGAGGTCCAGATAGATTGAATTAGCGAATGAAATTTCAGAGCCCAGGCAGAGACGTTACAAGTATAGAGATGAAGTAGGCGTTAAAAGAGACCAGAAACAACAAGACAGGCAACTTTAAACTTATTCAAAGGACCAAGGAGGAGTGTGAACCGGGCAATAGGCAAACCTGCAACCTGTCTTTCTACTCATTATCGACAGAGAAAAAATAACATAATGACATGATAATTGCATGTTAATCACTAAAATGGATTTTAAGGGAGAAACTCTCAAGGCAACCATTAAAATCTGAACCTAAACAGAATCTATGAAAACGTTCCCTGTATTTGGTGGAATTCAATGCTGTTAATACACAAAGGACTGTTTGGATGAAGCATTAGAATAGGAAGGAGTTTTTTTTTTTTTACTGTGGCAGTAAGTCCACAAGTTATAGTGTTTCCTGTCAATGTCCTTCCTCGTTTTACAAACGTCACGCACCCAAACCTCATGAACCTGGAATTTGAACTTCCTCGACACGCAAACTTTTACTCCATACAATATTCTTTGCTTGTTCAACGCTTCAGACAAATACAAGATAACGAACCATTCTATGAAGAATTCATTGAATCAAAACTCACGCCATTCTTTTTTAGATTCGTTCAATATTTAGGCAATTTACTATGCTTAGTTTTATTTGAATTTTTGTTGCAACTCTTGCTCTCTTTCACTCTCCTCTCTCTCTCCCTTCTCTCTCTCACTGTTTCTCTCTGCCTCTCTCTGAATATATATATATATATATATATATATATATATACAATCCAAAGAAAATTGTCACATAGCTGAAGATTAAATTCAGAACCACCACTGCAGGGTTTCATAGGCGAAAATATTTATAAGTCTTCTGTCAACTCGTCAGCAATTGACTGACGTTTTTGTCAATGTCATAATTTTTATACTAAGTAAAAAAAATAATATGTGCGCTAGTTATTGGCGTTAGGTTGATTTATGTGTGTGTTTGTGTACGCGTGTGTGTAGGTGCGTATGTGTTAAATATTTTGGTTATTTCTCCTTTTCATATATATATATATATATATATGTGTGTGTGTGCGTGTGTGTATTTAGGCAGCAATCTTTCTTTCATGCACATTGCATTGAATACGACAGTCAAGGTGCTTTTATTTAGTTTTTTATACAATTTATCCTGCGATATAATTTTTTTTCCTTTTCGGATGATAAATTATATAAAAACATTACAAATGTTCCTTTTATCTGAGCGCTTTCGACTATACATTAAACCATTTTCAAAGATTCAATATGTTAACTGTTTATATTACGGGTGTTGTTGGGAGTGACATAAAAGCTAATGTTGCTCAAAATATTGAATTTTAAATGTTAAGCAACCATGATGTTTTTTTTAATCATTTATGCCGTATTAATATATTTGTTAATTTTATTTGAAACTGTCACATCTGTGTTAATTTCACTAATTAATTTGTCCCGATCTAATCAAAAAAAAATAACCCGTAGAAGAACCGAAATTTCATAACGAAGATTAATTGAAACAATATCGAAGAAAAAAAAAAAAACAGCATTTTCTTAATAGAAACAATATCAATTTAATCCGATGTTTTGGTTTGACAAAATCAAAGAGTCGAACAAAAGAAAAAGTTCATATCTTTGACGATAGAAATGACAGGAACAATTTTCTAAAATCATTTTTACATCACTGTAATGCTACTTGAACGAATCTTTAAATAAAAAGTGGAGAAGAAAAACTCAAAAGAAACGACGCCTTTTAAAAGATTTTTTAAGACATTTGCAACAGATAATTTCTTATCTGTCTCCATCTCTGAGATGAGGTATTATGATTACTTACATTATGCGGACTGTTATCCTCATCTTCATTGCCTTATTCGCTGGCTTTGGTTAGATCCAGTGACTAGATCCAAAGAGCTGTGAGTTCAATACCAGGCAACAGCAGTGGTGAATCAAAACTTGTAGATTTGACCTACACGGAAATAACTGAGACATCTGGAAGAGGCATGGCACGTGGAACTAGAACAATCTACCGCGGCGGACGAAATAAAGGGTTCGGTTTGAAATTCCAATCATCTGAAGAAGCGTACAATGGCCGAAATGTTGTGAATATGGCAATGAAGATGAGGATAACAGTCCGAATAATGTAAATAATGTAAGTGATAATTTCTTTGTCCTTCAAACTGTGTTACGACAATTCAAAACAATTATATATTATCGAACGTGACTGGAGCTCACATTTAGCAGATCTAATGACATCTTGGTTACTAAAGACTTTGACAGCTTGAAGTTTCTCATATGTTCAGTCCATGGTATTCTCAGCATCCTTCTGTTGAACTATATATATATATTATCCCATGTGTCTTTTTCCTCTGTGATGAGTTGATCCAGCATTCGCTGTCATATAGTAGGGCTGGTACTACTTTCTCCTTTTGTGGCTATCAACCAGGGCTAAAGTTCTATCTGACCTGACATTTAACCCATTGCTGGTGGTAGAAGAGATGGATTTAAACCTATCTCTAAGCTATTTGTATTGTAACGTAACCAACCGGAATTAGAACTAAGCTCGTCAATTTTTAGTTCCAAGTCGCTAACCATTACACTCTTCTTCTTCTTCTTCTTCTTCTTCTTCTTCTTCTTCTTCTTCTTCTTTGTGTTGTTTCACTTCAGGACGTTGGCCATCATGGTTCTCAACATTTTCTTGTCCATTGTAGCTCTCAATATTTTTTTATTCGAGCTCGCTTGGTAGGTTAAGCATTGTTTTGACTGTTCCTCTTGCCTTCAATCTGTCCTTTTAGTATCAAAATTTCCAGGCCACCTTTCCTCGTTATGTGCCCTAAAAACTTCATCTGTCTCTTCATGATGTTAATTATGTGTCCTTCTTGCTTCCATTCTCTCAAATGTTCAGCACATGGCATTCTCAGAATCCTTCTGCAGAACCACATTTCTGCTACCTAAAATCACTTCTTCATCTGTGAGAAGATTGTTCAGCATTCACAGCTATATAGGAGGACTGATATTACATAACATTTCACTGCTCTTTTCTTTGAATCTAACGAATGTTAGAAATAAGAAATGAAGATGGGGGGGTATTACTTTCACTATTAATTGATTTACTCGTAATGAAATACATCCCAGATATGTAACGAATAAGATGAAAATTGATGATTAAGAATATCTATTATCACATGCCTCTGCATTTCTCTCACTCGCGGTCTGTATCTTCACATTCTCTTCCTTATCCATTCCCATTTAAATGAGATTATTCATTATCTCAAGCCTCTTGTCTTCTGTCACTGTTTGTCTGTACCTTTTTAGTCTCTGCATTAGCCTTTCCAATGCAACTACTATTATCCATTATTTCATTCTTCTTTGCCTGTATCTTCTCATTCTCTCCCTTATCCTTTCCAATATAAATAAGATTATTCATTATCTCGTGCTTCTGCTCTTCTCTCGCCCTTTGCCTGTGTCTTATCAATCTATACTTTATCCCGCTTAATGCAACTAAGATTATCTCATGCTGCTTGTGTGTATCTTTCTAATCACTCGCTTGTCCGTTTCTCACGTAAATATAATAAAAACATGAATTATTTGTAAAGCTGTAAAACGAATGCGAAAGGAACAAATATTTCCCTCTTTTTCTCTTAATCTATTTCCCCATGAAGAATTTCTATATATCACAATGTCTTTCCAGCACAGTCTGCTTTTCTCGCATTGTCTTTTTATATCCATCAATGATGAATGCCTTATTTTCGCAGTCATCTTTGTGATATATACAGTGGGAGAAATAAATATTCGTACACAGGAAAAATTGTATTTTTATAAATGTAAAAGCCTTAACTAAAACAAATTTTAATACATTTTATGTGTAAAGATACATTTTATTAAAAAAATAGTAATAAACTTAATTCTTATTCTAACAGAAATTAATACATTTTTTTTTCATTTTAACTGATGAAAAAAGTATTCTTACAAATAAATTATTAGAATAAAATAATCAATCAATTATAAAAAAAAAAGTATATTCTAGAATGTTCCAGCAATGTTATCAGTAATTATAGTTAACGCTATTGGCCATTATCAGAGCATTCTGCAATTTCTAGTCTTACGAGAAGGTTCTAATAATGCCTAAAGGTAAAGATTAGCCCCATTTTTTTAAATTCTCGAATAACTGA